GCGCGCGCCGAGCGCGCCTTCGAGCGCCCCGGCGGGCGCCTCGGGCGCGGCACCGCCGCGGCTGCTGACCCTGGTGGCGGGCGCGAGGGCGGCGGCCGGCGCGCCCGCCGCGGCCGCCACGGCCGCGGCCAGCGTTTCAGAGAAGGGCGCCTGCTGCTGGGCCGCCGCGGTGCCGAAGGCGCTGCCGCCGATGGGGACGGAGCAGGACAGCGGCGGCACTTCGAGGCCGCCGAGGCCGGGGCTGGCGTGGCCGCCTGCGTGCGCGGCGGCGGCGCCGCCGTGCCGCTGCTGGGCGGAGGGCAGCGGCTGGGCCGAGAGCCTCGCGGCGAGAGCTGCAGCATCCTGCGGGCTGAGCCGCTGCGAAGTGGGCGGGCGCGTCGGGTGCGAGGGATCAGATCTGGCAGCCAAGGGCACCCAGCCAGCAGTGGGATGGATTGAAGGCCACAATGCCGAAATGAGAGTCAGGTTTGGCGCTGGGGAGGGCAGGCATCAGCGCCCGCGCGCCGCTCAGGCGGCAGAGCGGCAGCCGCCCACCAGCAGATCGGCGGCGGAGCAGTCCGCCAGCGGAAGCGCCGCCGCGGCGCCCCAGGCCGGGGGCGGGGGGCGCGTCACGGCTTCTAGCACCGGGTCTCCCTCGACGGCCGCCGCCGCCGCCTCCCCGCCCAGCGGCCAGAGGAGGGAGCCGCCGCGCTGCATCTGCGGGCGGGCGCATCGGGCGGGGCGGGCCGGCTGCCTTGCGGTGGGGGGGCCGGCGGGGGTGGCCGGCTGGCGCGTGCTCTGCTGGCGTGACGTCGTCCTTTGGCCCGTCCGAGGGCAGCGGGGAAGCCCAGCATAGGAGTGCATTTGCTCAGTCGGCATTAACACTCGTAGCTGGACCAAACAACCACTGATACAAGCGTGATGGGCAAGCGCACCTGGATGGAGACTGCGGATGCACCGCGATCTCAAGGCGGGATGTGGAACGACCTTCCGCTCGAGCGTGCAAGGGCGCGAGGCACAAAGGTTCAGAGGCCGTGCCCTCAGCCCTCGGCAGTAGTGGGGAAGGGCCAGGAAGCGCCACAAGTCGCTAAGCAATGGCGCAAGCACATGTCATGCAGTTCTGCATTTGCAGGACCTGCCGAATCAACCATGCACAAGCACCAAATTGCATGCCACTTGGACACACTTACTACATCCAGCCAACAGCCGTGCCACCACAGCTCGCGGTGCACTTGGCGGCCTCCTTGCTTGGTGTGACATCGTCGAGTGAGTAATAATGAGTGACATCACCCGCCCTGCCAGCTGGTCTATTCGGGCTGCGAAACACCGCCTGGCCCGGCCTGAGGCCAATCAGATATTACAAACAGAGGGTCAGATCAGAAACATCTGCCGGCCTGCAGCCACATTGGGGGACAGAACCACCCCGCTTTTCAGCGCCCGCACCCCGTGGCCGGTTCAAAGCACGAGGGGTGCTGGGAATCACATGCTTGGATCGAGCCAGTGCGTTAGACAATAAGGCTGATTCGGTCTGATATGAGCTGATCCAATCAAGTCAGGGGTGTACGGCCAGGGGCATACGGTCAGGGGCGGGTGCACTCAGTCCATCAAAACAAGGGCCGAGCAGCAGCAGCAGCAGCAGCAGCACGAGCAGCAGCAGCCAACCAATGCTGCCGAGACTGCAGCAGCTCGCGCCCGCTCAATCAAGCCGCGTTGCCGCCAGCCGCTCCGCCTCCTGCTGCACCGCTGCCTCCCCCTCCGCGGCCCCCTCCTCCGCCGCCGCCCGCTCCTCCGCGCCGCCGCCGCCCTCCGCCGCCGCCACCTGAGGCGCCGACTCCGCCGCCGCCGCCGCGGGCGCCGGCGCTGCCGCATCTGCGTCCGACGCAGGCTCCGGCTCTGGCGCCGGAGCCCGGGCCACCTCTACATCTTCCATGGGCTTGAACTCGCTGACGCCAGAGGGGTCGTGCAGGATCCAGGTGAAGGGCTCTGGCACGTCCAAAAAGACCTGAGAGCCACGTTTTGCGGGGGGGGGGGGAGAGTCGTGGATCATGTTTTGATGGGGATCCAGGGTTTGGAATGTGGGGTACACAGGGTGTCGAGCCGTGCTTGTTTATGAGCGCGGCCCGCCACCGTCCGGCCGCCTCCGTGCGCCAGCGGCAAGCAAGCAAATGCTGGGGTCGCAGCACGCCCCGCGCCGCGCCGGCCCGGCACTCGCGGGCCCCCGGCTGCGCCACGGCGCTGGGCAACGCCAACCGTCCAACCCCAGGTGCTGCGCGGGGCATTTGAGTTTGGTGTGTATCGACAAAGCACGAAAACAAGGGTTACGTGCGCAGTGCACTCACGTTGAGGGCGATGACGGTGTCCATGATCTTTGACTTGACGTCCTCGGTCAAAGACGTCCCCGCCTGCCGCACGTAGTTCCCGAGGTTGAAGATCGCCGCCGCAATGTGGTTGTAGATCGAGTCGATGTGGCGCTTCCCGTCGGCAGAGATCTCGAACTCGAGCTCGGGGATTTCTATGCGCGCGTTGGGGGACTTGAGGCAGACGCGCCAGAGGTCCTTGGTGCTGTTGATGCGCACGGTCATCGTCGTGTCGCGCCACGCGGCCCTGACGGTGGGGTGAGTCATTGGTGAGTCACAGGATGGGGCGCCAGCGCCGGTGGGGGCGGCGGCGGGGGCGGCCGGGCGCATGCAAGTGATGAGTTGGGGCCGTGTTGGCGTGCAGGCTTGGGCTTGGGAAAAATGTAAGCTTCGAACCATGTCATTGGTGCGGACCAAGGGGCATGGGCGTTCATGGGGCGCCCACGCTCTGCAGGCAGCGCCGCAGCCGCGGCGCGTTCGTCCACAGCACCGCTGCGGTTGCGGCTCACTGCGGGGGGTCTGGCCGAATTTGGAAGAAGGCGCGGCCGTTGCGAGTCTCCTTGACCACGTTGGGCAGGTTGTCCAGGAACGCCTCAAACGTGCCTGGCGGCAGTCGGAACGTCAAGCAGGGACGGGCAGGGGGACAGGGGTGCCGGTGACAGGGAGGCGGCGGCGTGCCAACGAGGCGCGCGCATGTGAGACCCCGCCCCTCTGGCCGAGGCCGCGTGCCCTGGGGCGCTCGTGGCTGCCGGCGGCCAACGATAGTGCTTTTGTCGACCCGATTTTTGCAAGGGGCGCGCGCAGATGTTTTCGCGGCCCCCACTACTGCGCAACAACCCTTGCGACGCTGCCCCAGCTTCGAAACATCGCAGCGTGCTGCGCCAGGGCACGAGGCGCGGTCTGGTCTTCGGCAGCCCTCTTCTACTGCGACCACTCACGCCTCAACCTGACGGTCTGCTGCGGAATGCCTGCAAAACCCGGCCTGGAGTGCCTCCAGCATGTGCGGCCCCTGCAGACCAAGGGCTCTGACGATTAACGCCCGAAAACGGCGCTCTCGGCCCTTTAGCACCTTGCAAAAACCGCCCAAAAACTCACTACAGATGCCCTCACCACTCCCTCAACGTCCCAAAGTGAACAAGAATACCCAGGGGTCGGTCGAGCACCCCCCGCACCCACCCTTGAGTGCGTCCTCAAACTCGGGCATGTCCTCGTAACCCAGGTCGGTGCACAGCGCCTGCCCGACGTGGTCTACGGGCAGCCACTCCACGCCGGTGGGTTCGCCATTATGGTCGAGGGCAAAGGACCCCCAGATGCCCTCAAGCTCGCTGACTAGGCGGTCCATCTCCTGGTGGCTGCGCGTGTGGTTTGGCGGGCGCGGGGTGGGAGTGGCGGGGATGCATGGTTGGTTTGGGGCGGGTCAAGGTTTGGGCTGGGTAGCGAGGTGGGAGTTGTGGGGGGCGGCAAGGCCCGGGGGGCGGCGACATCGTGAGGGCCAGGAGGTGGGCGCATGTCTGTAACGGGCCAGCGGAAGGCCAAACACAGTGATGGATGAGTATGTTGCCGTCGGAAAGGGGCGGCATACACGCGAGCCGCGTGTGCGAGCCACAGTCGCACCCGCCCCAGCTGCATGCAACTGCACGCTCTGGCTGGCCAGGCTTCCGTCTGCCGAGCCAGGCTGCCAGGGCAGCAGGCAGGCTCACCTCAGGTCGATCTTCGATGCCTCCAAGAGGCCGGAGTTGGAGACGGGGATACCCATGGTGGCCTGGGTGGGCGGAGCAGGTGCAGCCGCATGGCCGGCGGTGGCGGATGAGATGATGACATGGGGCGGGGCTTGCTGCAGGTTTCCTGTCCAGGCCGACTGCGACAGCACACCCCATCAGACAACAAATCCAAGTTGCTTGTCTGCAGCTGCTCCATCGACGAAGGGCGCAGCGACGCGGACACAGCATGGAGGCCGGCGCAGCAGCCGTTGACAGCGGCAGCCAGCGTGGTGTGCCGCAGCACCACAAAAGCTGCGGGGTTCCTTTGGCCCTGGCGCGCTGGAAGCGCACGCGTGCTCGAGAACGCACCAACTCTGAACTCTACTGCTTGCGATGAATCAGCACAGGACGGTGGCTGGATCACGAATGCTTAGGTGCGCGCGGGCTTCGTATCAATAGTGGATAACTGAAATATTTTGATTGGAGTCGCCTTATCATACTTGTTGCATGGAGCAAACATGCTGATATCGAGCGAGCTGTCACGACAGAGTCCGAGCAGCTGCACGAATCGCCGCAAGCTGAAAGCCTGTTGACGCGCTACACACAAGTACATGCAGCTATACAGCTGTTCTATTAGCCTGCCATTCATCGGACTTGACTGTGTGGCCCTGGACAGCACTTGCTAGAATTCTTGGTCCACCAGTAGTTGACCACAGGCACGTCTGCGTCACCAGGTGCGCTTGCCAGCTGCCAGGCCAGGACAGAAGGCATGGCACAGCACATGCAGTTACTGTGACAGTCAAAACGCAGCGTGTCGACCCCGCGGAGCAACGTAGCGTTGAACGGCAGGGACCAACAGCAAGAAAGCTGAAGGTTTCAGGGCGGTTGCGATGTTCGACGGTGTGTGTGTGTGGGGGGGGCGAAGGCACACAATCAATGGCCACCCTTGCTGAAACAATGCAGGAGACGGGATTGAGATATGGCACAAGCGGCATCAGGGCCCAGAGGCAGTTCTTACGCGCACGCACACGGCACATACAGACCGCTTCAGGTGTGCAGGAGGAAAGCTGTGTTCGAGGGCACTCGAGTGCGTGGCATGGGAGCGGACGCGGGATGGCGCGGAGCGGGGACTAGCCGCCAGCACCTGCTGGGAACTTTTGCTTGTGCGCCCTGCGCGCGGGCAGGGCAGCTGGCAACAAGCAAAGGCAGCTCCCACAGAGGCAAATCGTCAGTACAGGCAGGCGTCTCTTCGAAGAACAGACCATCAGAAGTGGCCAAACAAAGCCGTTCGTGATCGCGGGAGGTGGAGGTTGGTTAGGGGCGCCGCGCACACCCGCGCAGACACCGTGCCGGGTATGAGATTCAGTGCGTAACCAATCGCTGGCTGCCAGCCAAGGGCAACCAACAGAGCCACCCAGACACATGCCATGACGTTGACATGCTCGCCTGGGCTGCTCAAACGGTCCCGCAGCCATTGGATGCAATCAACAAACGCTCCTTGCCCGCCCGCCTGCGACCAATGGCACGCGGGCGGAGGGCTGCCCTTGGTGGGGATGAGGCGCAGGGGCGCCGCCTTGGCACCCCGCTCCCTGCCCAAGCCTTCACTGGCTCTCATGCGCGTGGCGCAGCGCCGATCCCGCCTTTTGAATGCGAGGCCCTCCTGGCCGTCGAGCCTGCAACCCGATGGTTGGTAGACGCCGCACGCTTTATTCGCCTCACAGTCCGCCGGACGATCTCCGACCGGCAGCCGCTCGATGCCACACCCCTCTAACCAGAGGGCGGGCAGGCCTGACAGCGGATCGGTCCAAAAACACGCAGCGTCCGCGCTGTCACGGCGGCCCCACCCTTACGTCTATCGGCGCCGACGCGGCCGCCGTCTTGCGCATAAGCGCGCCGCGCCCGCAGAGCGCCGCCGACGCCGCCTCAAACCTGTCGCCGCGGCCTCCGGCCAGGTCGCGCGCCGCCTGCACTAGGTGCAGCTGCGACGCCAGGCCAGCGCACAGCGCTACCGCAGCCGCAGCCCCGCCGCCGCCGGCGGCGGCGCAGCAGCGCCTCGGCGCCTCGTCCGCTGATGCGGCCCCTTGAGAGGCGTCAAGGACGGCGCGGCCATGCCCATGCGCCTCTGCCAAGCCCAGCTCTTGCTGCTGCTGGTCGGCCTCTGGAGCCTGCTGCCGCTGCTGCTCTTGGGCCTGCTGCTCCTGTCGCCCCTGCTGCTCCTGCTGCTCCTGCTGCTCCTGCTGCTCCTGCTGCTGCTGCTGACGCCGCCGCTGCTCCCACTCCTCCGCGGCCAGCCTCAGCGCCGCCGCCGCGCCGTCCGCCACCACCCGCACGCCCGCTACCTTGTCGCGCGCCAGCGCCTCGAGCGCCGCCGCGACCAGCTCCTGCTTGGCCCGCGGCAAGTCTGCGTGGGCGAGCAGCCCAAGGGCCATCGGAACAAACAGCTGGCGACCTTGGAAGCTGCTGCTGCGGGCGAAGCGGGCGACCAGCGCATCAACGTAGAGGGAAGGGCTGACGCACAGAGGGTCGAGCGCAGGCGCGTCCCCCGCGCCCATGTTACGCGCGCTGCTGGCGCTGCCGCCGGCCGCCGAGGGAGCCGTGTCGCCGCCGCCGCCGAGCCTGCCGGCGCTGCCGCGGCGCTTGGGGTGCGTGTGCGGCGAGGCGGGCGGCGGGCGCAGGGCGGCGGGCTCGCCGGCCGAGGATGAGCGCGCGTGGTGGGCTGGGCGCGGGGTGCCGGCCCACGCCCCAACTGGGGCCATGGCCGGGTGCATCGCCATGAGGGGGTGGACGGGCGTGCGGGGTGGCAGCGCGCGCCCGTAGCTGCGTCCCCGTGGCGGCGTGCGCAGGGGCGACGCGCAGGGCGAAGCATAGGGCGATGCGGCAGGCGATTCTGAGCCCACCGCGGGCCTCTCGGGTGCGGGATCGCCCTCTGCCTCGCCCTCGCTACTGCTGCTGCTGCTGCTGCTGCTGCTGCTGCTGCTGCTGCTGCTGCTGCTGTTGGTGCCGCTGCTCAAGCGACGGGCGCCTGCGCCTGCACCATTGCCCTGGCCTTTGCTAATGCTTTTGCCAAAAACCAGCATTGCCACAGGAGAGGCTGGGCCGGGCGAGACAGCGCCTGGGCCGCTGACCGCACAAGAGGCCCCCTCCCTCAAACGCTGCCCGCCCTCGCCGCAGCCGCCGCCGGCCGCGCCGCCCTCGACAGCAGCGGGCGCGGGGGGCGGCGACAGCGCGCACGGCGGCGCCGCGAGGGCGCAGGGGAAGCCGCCAAACAGGTCCGCGTCGTCGCAGTCGTCGCTGTTGCTGCTGCCATAGCTGCTGCCGTAGCTGCTGCCGCTGCCAAACGCCCCGCCCGCGGCGCCGCCAGACGCCGCGCCAAACGCGGCCACTCCTGATGCGGCTTGGGCCCTGCTCATTGCTATGGCGAGCGCCCTTGAACTCTGAGGGCCTGGACTATCGCAATCCGAGTCGCTGCTGCTTGCCGCTTCGTCCTCGTCAGCATCAGCGTCCGTGCCGCTGCCGACGAGCGCGCCCCCGGAACTGCTGATGCCGCGGCTAGGGCTGCAGCGCGCGGGCGCCTCATTTCGTCCCGCCAACGGCTGCACGAGCGGCGAGCAAGCGCCAGCAGACTGCGGCCGCAGGGGCGGCGGCTGCTCTTCCTGCTGCTCGCCAAGATGCAGCCCCGTGTGCTGACCGCTGGCCGCCTGCCATTGCTGCTGACTTTGCTGCTGTTGCTGCTGCTGCTGTCCCCGTTGCTGCTCCCTGTCTGCCTTTGCGGCCCTGACCTGCGGCTCGCATCGCTCCGCCTCCTCCGCAGCGCCCGGCAGCGGCAGCGCCGCCAGCAGAGGGCCGATCTGCGCAGCCGCCGCGCCCCGCACCGCAGCCACCGGGTCCGAGCAC